CCCCAGGCTGTGGGGTGACCCCCCCACCCCGGGCATTGAGCCCAGGCCTGGAGAGCCTGGAAAGCAGCTGAAACTGTGGGATCTCTCCATCCATCCCCTGCCCCCCACATGATTTCACCCCTGTGAGACACTATACTGGGAAACCTTTTATTTCCACCTCCATCACCAACAAATTCCAGACAACAAACCCACAATATTTCCAATTAAATATACAATAAGTTAAAAGCAAGAGGTGTGACACAATAAATAAGAACAAAAGCACTGGACAGACATAATAAATAAGTACAAATGGGGGTAGGTCGGGCCGACAGGGCCCAGAGCTACTATTTCACCTGAAATAGATGGGGAGCATGGGGGTCCCACTGGGGTTTGTACTCGGTACATACAGCCTGAGAACCAGCCACTGCTGGTTGGGTTGGGTTGGGTTGGGAGCGGGGGCTCCTCAGTGCCTGGTCAGCTCATAGGTGGCGATGTTGACCTGGTCGGGCTGGTTGGTGATGCTGACCGGCTGGCGGGGCTGCAGGGAGGTGCAGATGAACCAGCCGGGGAAGGCGGCCGACTCAAAGCGCGTGGTGCCTTCGGCTGGGCTGTCCAGGCGGTAGAAGATGAAGCGGGTCAGCTCCACGCTCCTGATGTCCCTCCTGACGTCAGCTTCCTACAATCGAGGGGGTGAAATGGGATTCAGGGTGGGGTGGAGCCCTCAGACCCATCCCAGTCGGTGCCAGCGGGACCACCCTGCTCACCTCGAGCTGCAGCACGGGCTCAGCACCGCTCAGCACACACGACATGAAGAGTTGGTAGCCCTTGATGCCCAATGCCACCGGCACCCGCCCGGCCTCTGGGCCACCCTGCGACGGCTGAGGACGGTACAGAGCAATGTTGAGCTTCACTGCAGAAAGAAGGAATGAGTTAACGGCTGATCCTGGAGCTGTGGGATGGCACCTGTGTGGTCCTGAAGACACTGGGTCTGGTCGGGGATGGGGGCGTTGGGTCAGGACCGCGTCCTCTCACCCTTCCGCCCGGCAGAGGGTCCCTGCAGGTGCAGGGCCACCAGCTGAGTGGGTGACTCCAGCACGAAGCACTTCTGGTCAGTATCATGGATGTCGAAGGACTGGGAGCGGGTGTAGCGGTAGACAGGTGCTCCGGCGTAGCTGCCATGAACCCACTGGAAGGAGACAGGCTCTGTGGGGAGGGAGACAGTCAGGGGGATGCTCATGATCCCCACTGCAAGAGCACCCCTCGCTGGGCTGCAACCCTGACATCACCCCCTTCATACCGAAAATATCATCCAGGAAGTCCCCAAGGTCACTGTCAGCAAAGTCCTTGTGTGCCAGCTTGGTCACAGCTGCTACGAGGACAGCGGCCTGCCGAAAGGTCCTGGCAGGGTGTCCCTTGGTCACCGTCACCTGGATGCCCACCCCAGGCGATGCCACCTCCAAGTCCAATTGGGGTTTCTGTGGAGGAAAGGCGATGTGGGGTGAGAGCTCAGCTTCCTCACACAGGAGTCTCACCGCTGCCACCACACCAGTGTTACCTTCTGCAGGCAGAGGCAGTCAGGACCATAAAACGTCTCGTCATTCAGGCTAAAAGGCAAAGGGAGATGGTGAAGGCAGGGCCACCACAGCTATATCACATTCCCCATGTCCTCTCCGGCACAGCCATGCTTACCTGCTGCTCTCCAGTGTGTCCAAATCAGGGACGAAAGCCATCTCCACTGCTGACTGCAAAACGTGGGGAGAGACCTGCTGGTACCTGTCGAGTGCTGCGGCACCCAGCTGCCTGCTCCTGCCTGCTCCTGCCTGTGCCGCCTGTGGCGTTGCTTGGGTGTTCTCTGAGCCCGCTGGTGGCACGGTGGGTTTTCAAGAGCCTCTGAAGGAAGTGCTGTCAGAGCGGGTTTTCCACCTTTCGCAATGCCTGGGTTTGCCCAGTTCCTCCAGAGAGACTGAGAGGGCTGGGGAGCTGCCCCCGAACAGGCATGTGGAAGGATGGGGGGGATGCTTTGGGGGTTGGGGTGCAGAGCAGAGAGTAGGGGTGATGCTCCAGGGCTGGTATGTGGGGCAGAGAACAGTTTGGGGTCAATGTGTGGGGCCAGTGCTCGTGTGCCAGCCCTCAGTGGCTGGGCTGACCCAGCAGGGATTGCCCCAGTCCCGTCCCCGTCCCACTGCGATGACGCCCACCCTCGTCAGGGCTGGAGCTGCGCTGCCCCGGAAGGGCCAGTGGCGCAAGTGCTGCAGCTCCACCATTTCCCCACGGCTTCCTCTTATGCTGCCCAGCCCCACAGCACCGCAGCCACAGGGCTCTCTCCATCACCCCTCCTGTCCCCACCACCCCAACATCAGCACCCCGCTGGCCCCTTGCGCCCACCTGCACTACCTTGAGGCCATGGCCTTCAAGGCCACGGTGATTTTGGGGACTCTCCTCGCCACCGCCTGGCAGCGCACCGTCCAGGCAGCGTGCTGCAGATT